ATATTGATTGTGATTTTGATGATAAAAATTATTTATCGCTGTCATAATATCCGTGGATTTTTTTTCTGCTTTAACTACAGGCACTTAGTATCAGGAGGCCTTCCCCATTTTTCCCCAAATATAACCTTTTACTATTGAAAGTGTTCATTGAAAGGCTGGTTACCCCCCCCCCCCTTTTATTTGGAAAAGTTAAATAGTGGTTATTTGGTAATGTATCAATAAAGTTTGGTTGTGAAAGAGAGTGGATCTACCCCCGCGCCCCTCCACCTCGAAATAAATTTTCGAGTTTGGACATTTTTTTGTTTTGGTCAAAGTTTTTTCAGGTAAGTTGTCAATTTTTCTTCTGGCTGTCCTCTTTCAAAAACGATACAACGTCCCTGAACTATAATGATAACATATTAATTTAAAAAAATAGATGAGTTTATGGAAGAAAGACAACAATGTTTGCCAAGATTGTTCCACAGGGGAAGGGCGATAACTCGTACAAATAGCTTTACATCACGCCTCTTGTGAGCGGGAAAGGTAGTACATTATAATGCATTCTCAACCTAAGATTCCCTCTTTCTGATTACACTCAGCCTACGGGATAGTCGATTTTGGCATGAAGAAATTTTAAATAATAAAGTCAATAAGTATATAGAAGTTTTTGTGTTGTCGTCTTTTCTTCGATAATGCTAGTAAAATATTTAAATATTATACTTAAATATTATACTGCTATAGCAGGCGACACATGCGTTTCTTAGAACACTATAGTTGTAGATTTTGCACGTCTTATTCAATGTGAAAATTTTAGTAAACTGCTCTTTAGGTAACCAAAAAAAATATATATATATATTATACAAAATTATGGCAATATATAGGAAATATCTTTTAGAATCTTATCATTTGTGATTTGTTCGTGGTGCTCAAAAGGAGTATATTTTCATTTAAAATATATTCAGGGGATTTTTTTATGCTGAGGAAGTTAAAAAATTAAAAAAATAAATCTGGTCAGATATCAGACCATTATTTAATTTGATTTCACTTTAAACGGTTTTTGTAAGAGAAATGTTTATGAGCAAGGTGACTTATCAAGCATCATGACCAATAATAGCATCCACAAGTCAATTGTCATATGTGATATTTACCAGATGTATTGTATATTGCCTGAAAGCATACTTATGGAAAGTAGATTTAAAAAAAATATTTTTTTTTTTGTTGTTGTTCTTGTTTTTCTAGTCATACGTTGTTATTAAAAATAGACTGCAAAAAAGTAATGCTTGTATTGTTTTTGTGACCACTTTTTTGCAAGGTAATTGGTTTTAAATGAACAGCAAATACTTTGTATGTTTAGACCTTAAAACAAAACAATTTAAGTTTGTTTGTGGCAAACACTTTGATAGGCTACATTATATTTTTTTTAATAAATAATCTAATTCCTATACCACAATTCATCACAAGTAAAAAGACGTATCATTTCGTCAACGTTGACGCTTACAAAAATGACGTCAAACTTCAAACTAAAGAAAATTATCGGGATTCAGTTAAAAATAAATTATCAAATTAATGCACTCTATGCTTTTGTGTGTGGTGGGTGTTAGGGTGTGTGTGTGGGTGGGTGTGTGAAGTCTTAAACATGATTCTTAGATCTTAGGCCTACCCAACTTCTCTATGCATGTACTGCTTGCTTAAAGTGTTAGAAAATACACGTTTAAATGTATGGTACCCACCGGTACTCTTCGGACACTAAAACTGACGTCTAAATAAGCTGTAAAAAGTACAAAAGTTAACGTTCCCTATAATCTTATGTTCTTTAGATTATTTAAAAAAAAAAATGAGCACAGGCAATCAATGTAAAAGAATGTAGTTAATTTGATTTTCAATTGGTCAATTCAAACAGTCCTACGACCAGGCGTAAGCTTAGTCCGGACTAAGTCAGTGACTAAACCCCAAAATCGGACTGAGTAGCGTTTCACATTAAGGGGGAGACTTAGTCGAGACTTAAGTTAAGCTTAAATCTAGGCCTGCTCATGAGTAGGCGTAAGTTCTTAGTCTGTACATAACTTGAAAGTGTTAAGTGTTTTGATCAAAAAGGGATAAAAGAATAATTATTTTGTACATATACGATTTAATACCTATCCATGTACATGTATGATATGCGAAAGGTAGTAACAATCCAGCAAGGATGCACACATCAACTGACAAAGTTTAATGATTCTAAGCCAATTAGTACCCGAAATATTTGATTAAAGCCATAAATTTTCAAAAGTAGGTCACCGTGACCTACTTTTCGACTTTTTTCCGTAAAAAAGAATCTTGAATTGTGAAACTGAGTAAGCTTAAGATATTAATAAGTGCTCGAGTTTAAAAAAAACTTTCCAGTAATGATGTTTTCTGTTAAAAATTAAGTTGTAATTTATGCTGACTATACTTTCAGTATTTGTTTTCACGTACTGTCAAAGTTTGCTGAATATTTTTGTTACTCAATAACCTACCACCCTTCCCCATTCCCCCCACATACTGGGTACCTTATATTTTTTTTATTTTTGAAATATATATTTTTTTTTTAAACAAAACTCTTCAAACAAAATATATTTAATATATTTTAGATAATAAGAAATATTCGGTTATTATGCCATGAATTAAGTTAATGCACCTTTTACCTTAATTTCCCCTTTAATTAAATATAAAATTTATAGAACAGAAAAATGTGAATTTGTAAAATGTTCAAGTAATTAATTATCTTGACAGTAAAACTGATTTTTTCCTATTTCAAAGAGTAACTTTTATGGCGTATAAGATGTGCAGATAGGTTTATCATTTTTTTTTAAATAGATACTTGTTTTTAATAAATTTACAATCTGTTGTATTTTTTCTCAGACGAATTTTGTTTGAGAGTGTCTTTTGATCGATTTATGAACAGATAAACACTTAATATTACATGCATTTGAAAAGAAAGTGGGTAATAACGTGTTAAAAATGTTTGTTTTTTTTTTAATTGTAAATGAGAAACAGTTTCAAATTTGCTGTCATAAAATATTAATGAATATGAAAATCATGACTTTGTGAACATCTTTAAATCTAGATAAAATCCACAAGAAACATTCAGCATCTATAAAAGAAATATTATATGATCATATTCTTTATAGAAATTGAAACGGAATTACTAGATTAAAAAGAAAAATATAGTGATGTTGAAATTTATACCTTTCCCTATCTAAATAAATCTGATCCCGACTGGAAATATATTAAACGAAAATATTTCAGAAATTTATAAAAATACTAGATCGCTTGCCTTTAGTATGGATTACAAGAAATTGATTAAAAACTAATTAAGCTTTTGCAAACCTTTATTGAGAATGCGTGTGCAAATGAAAATGTTGTATATGCGTATTTTTACATAGACTGTGTAAATTATCATATCGATATCAATGTTATACTGTATGTCCAAAGTGTAATACATGTATTATAATACATGTGTCAGCTTCAATGCCAAGAAATCTAATTCAGTTAGAATTGATTATTCTGTTATGAAATTATCAATTCAATACAACTGATGAATTTTCAAAAATCTCTTATCCATATTTTAATAATATATGACTTCATAATTTTTTAAATTTTCCACAGGTCCGTAGAGCGCGGTGGGATCAGGGGGCCCCGGCCCCCCACTTTTGAAACCGTTGCTACGAACCTATTCCAGGCCTTTGCCACTAGCTTATGTGTATTTATTTTAATGTAAAACATAATTGAAGACAATATGGCTTATTTTCAAGGGAAAATTACTTCAATAAAATTCTTCATGTTTAATGTATTCCTGTTTTTCGCAAGTACGTAATGTTATGCACATCGTTTAAAATTTAATGTACGATTTATGTCGAAATATCACAATCGAGTACATGCACGTTTATTTTTTTCTACTGTAATTTGTGCCTATATAGATTTTTTTAAAATTTATATGAGCATACAAAAATAGTTATTTAATTTTAATGCCTTGGCCTTGAAAATACAGATAGGTTTGCGCAATATATCTGTTTGAAAGATGGTGAAGAGAGAAAACACGCACGTGCACTAATGCTTTCCGTGCCTTCCTTCTGTATTTAGGTTTAAGTTTAACTGATCCGCCACATGTAGTTGTAGTCTCTAAACCAAATAAAATACGATCTGCGCATGCTTAGTACTCAGCGGAGAGGTCTTAGTCTTAGGCCTAGTCGTACGCCCGTCTAAATTTTGGCGTAACTTAGGCCCAAATCTACGACTTTTTGAGAAACGAGCCCCTGTTCTGTATGTCTATCACTATTTACTTTAGTCAACTATCTTGCTCTTTACAATTCCGCTTCTACACGTTTTCTTTTGACAAAATGTTTGACAAACAACTTTCTCTCAGTTCTGTTTCTTCAAAGTTGCGGATCCAAGTCATGAAAATTTGCCGTGAAATGTAAAAATGAAAATAATTTGAAAAAATCTGTTCTGTTTTAAATATGATTTATTAGGATGTATAGGAAATTTACAGAGAAAAAAAAGATAATGGAAGACTATGCTGAGGTAAATGATAGTTATTTGTCTGCTAAGCCACACGCCATATCTTAAATATATTAGAATTTTTGTATGAAACACAAAGATCAAGAAAAATTAAGGTGTTATTAGCAAAAATAAGAAAGTATGAAATATACGATCATCACGAACTTTCATTGACGGAAACAAACAATTTACTTTAAATTGATATTTACAGAGGCGGAAGACATTGGCAAACAGAATGAGGAAATTTACAGATTTCTATTAGCAAACATTTTTCATTTTCAAATTTCACCAAATCATATACATAATGCAGTGCTAATTTAAGAAACTATGACACAATAAATATTGTTAAATGACATATATTCATTCTTATATATTACTTTTGAAGAACTTTCAATTAATCTCACCATTAAATGTGTTTTTGTGTTTAACGTATCCATACAAATTCCAGTCAAAGACAATAAAACATTCTACTCTTTCAAAATCCTTCAGAAAAAAGACATCAAAAGCAAGAAAAACACAAAAATCAAAAGCATCTTAAAACAAATTCTTGATAAATCGTCCATGAAAGTGGAAAGGGATATTGAAAGGCATGTAAGATTTGGTGATAGGTTTCAATGTTTTAGGATCAAGAATTAAAAGATAACTTTTGCCCAGATTTCCGTCTAGCACTGGAAGCATGAGGACTCCATCATCCTCTGCTGATCCGTTTGGATCCGGAACAAACCATCCTTCCATTGGATAATGTCCTGGAAGAGACCATGACAAGTCGCCTGTAGTGTTGCAAAGATCCTTTTTGACAAACGAAAAATTGCCATATATTTTAAAGTCGCTTTTATAAACAGCACCGTAGACATAGCAGTAGTGTTTTGATCTGTAAAGTTCGTTAATGGTGGGTGCCTCCAACATGTTGACGTGGGGGACTTTAGGGTTAACATCAAAAGAAATTGGCGTCATTTTTTCTGCTTTCAAGTCTATTTTAAATCTTTTCAAAGAGGGTTTAAATGGATAGGCATTGCGTCGTGTCTCGTTCATAATAATATCCATTTCCAAGACGGACACAACAGCAGCATCTGGATAAGATACAATATCCATAAAAATGGTGTCTTCGTCCAGTTCATATGCATTTACATGATGCAAGGTGAAGACATTTTCTGTCGTTAACGTTGTTACCTTTCCTGTTTTAATGTTAACTATATATGTAAGTGTAGGCTCATCTTTGTCGAAAAACATGCTATCTACCGGGAGATGACCTGTCAGTAATTTCTCAATATTTATGTATAAAGGACAAGCTAAGATAATAGCGTATCTTTCGGTGGTTGAAAAAGAGTGCAAATATGGCATTTTTTTAACTTCCCACTCTGCTATTTTTTCCCGAATATCTGCAGACTTCGTTCGGACAAGGGTAAATTTACTAGCTACTTCTGGTACCATGCCTTGACTCTGGAGGAAGGTTAAGTGGTGGTTTGTGCCGTATTCTTGGAGCGGATGCGCCACAGACAAAATACCCATATACGGGAAACTAGCCTTTGCTCCTGGTATCTTTGGATTGCATTCTCGTATCGTTTCTAGCGTATAGCAGTTGACTACGTATAACTTCCACATGTCAGTTAGAATAACACAGTCTCCTGAAAAGTTGTATATATTAACGTTCATATTGTCCATGCCATTAACCACTGACATCTCCTGTTCCATAAAGGTTCTGGGCGGGACAAGATTATCGAATGTCTGGTAAGGTGCGACGTCATTTATGCTAAGTGATTCTTTATAAGACTTGCTTTGAACAAACTTGGAAGAGAAATAGGCGGACCCATTTCCTGGGAATTGCCATGAATACAACTTTGCATACCCATCAAAAACGTTACGAAATGAGTGTTTCCCCATTCCATATCGCGCAGGTCCATTTCTTATCTAGGAAAACAAAAAAAATGAAAGAATATAAGTGATAACCATTTATTTTCAGTTGATGAAGAAGTATTCATATTTACTTACCAAAGACCCTTTGATCCATTTAGGAACAGGGTTATCGAATGTTAGTGGTTCTTTATAAGTTTCATTTAAAACATCGGTTCCAAACAACAAATTCCATCCAGGAAGATCGGCAAGAATTCCAACAAAAGACACCGTAAATAAGAGGTGACGAATCATAACGAAGCTTAAGTGCGAAGGACTTGTGTAAATCCGAATCAAATCAAATCTGAACAGTCTAATGTGCTGGCTGACTTATGTACCCTATCCTACACTATCATACTGATATTACCTTCACCTTTCATATTTATACAGGTGTTCATGTGACATATATTACAACTTTAAAAATATAAGACCACAATTTAGGATAGTTCCTAAAACATGCTTAAGGAACTTTTTTTTCCTCAAGAGATCTTCTCTTAAGAGTACACATTAAAACAATAGAATCAACTGAAGAAGCTTAAGGGAACCAATTTTTTATCATTTTATGTAATAATTACAAATTCCGAGACGTGATTTATCTGCAAAAGCTCAATTTAATTTTAAATAATTTATAAACTTGAAATGTTTCTGATCATGAAATGTAATACTGTACTAATAAATAATGTTTGTATATTGTTTGTATATTGTTTAACGTCCCTCTCGAGAATTTTTCACTCATATGGAGACGCCACCACTTGCCGGTGGAGAGCTACAAATTTTGACCTATACTTGGTACTTAGGGCCATTGAGCAGTGAGGGATCTTTTTCGTGCCAGCACCTACTGCGACACGGGACCTCGGTTTATACGATCTCATCCGAAGGACCGGTATCCACGTCCCACAGTGGAATTCGAACCCGCGACGTAATGATCAACTCCTTACTCCGCGACTCTAGAGCGAACGCTCTAACCACTGCGCCACGCGGGCGCATCTAATAAATAATGAAATACTATACACCTCCAACGTTATTTTTGACAGTTCTACAGTGCCCTATGGTACAGATCGTTCATTCTGTCTGCGTTTATTATATCGAGTTTATCCTAAGTGATCTGTTTTTACATCTGTAACCATATTCGGTGGGTGGCGTCTGTATGCTTTAATCTAAGATTATCTTAATAAGTAAGTTTTTTTTTCAATATCTATTAATCTCTTTATTTTATGCAAATGAAAAGACGAAATATTTTTTGAAGAAGTTGTTTTCACGTTCATTGCGTTACTCTAGTCGAAGTTGGCGATAAGCCAGATCGCTTCAAGTTTTCTGTTACAAATATTGATTTCTATTATAAGGTTTAACACTATTTTGCAACAAATTGTTGGGAAGCATATATGCTCACTTGGATATTGTAGTCAACTTTTGCATAATTAACAAAGAAAACTCACATCAAAGTAGGGTAAATTTATGAACCGTTTTTGTATGAAAAATTGGAAAATGCTTTCTAGAAATAAAAACTGTTGCTTCCACAAAAAGGTAATACCGATTGTAAGTTTAAAAAAAAAAGAAAACAAAACTATAGTTTGTGTACAAAATGTATTACTCTATTTTTGAACGTTATATTCTCATTATTTAAATAAATATATAAATGATTTGATTAATTTATTTGTTGCACGTTAAAACATCGTTTCCTGTATAAATCTAAATCTGATCTACTGTGCATCCGTTATTCCACACTTTGGACGGTCCAAATCACCCAAAATAAGTCAAAAAGCAAAGGCTATATTGAATTTGATTGTGTTCAAATATTACTGAATTTTGACGGAATTAAATCTACATTGCAGATAATTGATTGATTGATTATATATTGTTTTACGTCCCATTCGAGAATTTTTCACTCATACAGACACGTCTCCATATCTGGGCCTCCCGATCACGAAGCGAACGCCCTACCATTAGGCTACGCAGCTAATTGAAATAAACATTAAACTTTTTATATCTGAAGTGCGGACATAATAGAGTCCCATGGGGGAGAAGGTAAGTCCTTTCGACAGGTCACACCCGCCGTGTGCTCCTCGATAGGATAAATGCGGATGCGGATCAAAGTTACAAGTGTAAGCTGTGTAAATCTGCGAGCTCGTCCTAACGGCCACACCGTAAAACATATTAAACTTATTAAACGTTTAGTTGTTAGTTTGCCATCGATGTCTTTTTCGACATGCAAATGTGAAACAAATATGTCAGACTTGTCTTTTATTTCGAGTTTAATGAGGCATTTCGAATCAACGTATGAATGAAAATGATTGAACGTCGTTGATATATCTAACTGTCTAATTGAAGAGCCGTCACGGTAGCTCAGTCAGTAGAGCGCTCGCTCAGTGATCGAAAAGTCGTGTGTTCGAATCACGGCCGCGACTGACCTAAGTCGAGAAAAAATAGGTAGCCAAGCGCTCGGCACTTTAAAGTGAAAATTGCGGGTCCTTCGGATCTGACCTTAAAAACCGAGAACCTTTGTCACGGTAAGTGTTGGCACGATAAAGAACCCTCACTGCTCAATGACCCTGAGTGCCGAGTAAAGTTCTAAATTTGAAGCACTTCACCGGTATATGGTGACGTCTCTACATGAGTGAAAAATTCTCAAACGGGACATAAAGCAACATACATTCAATCAATCTATCTATCTAATTGAAGACCACGGAATATTCTTTTTTCTTTTCATGTAAAAGATTTTTACACTGCATCACAAACAAACCCTACATTTGTATCGGAATTTATTTTTAAGAATATTATTAATTACCAATGTGCAATGATGATGACGAAGCTGTATCAATCTATTTACAAAATTATTTTGACACATGTGTTGAATAAAGGCACCGAACTGACAACTCTGCCTCCAACACAAAAGCGCTCTTATTGTTCGGAAGAATTTTTTATGCATTGCTAAGGAGATTTATCTTCTGATTTTCTTAGAATTAAACGACTCAGAATTGTCGTTGATTTAATAAAATGATTGAATACTGAAGGATTTTTCTTAGCTAAGAATATTTTAAGTAACAAGGTGCAACTTTTAAAAAAATCTTTTAAAAAAATCTTACAGATTTCTTATGAATCCCAGCCAAGATTGATCTGCATTTATCTTACTCTTGGACAAATGCTTTGCCAAAGTTTTCTCAATAAAGCAAAGTTAATTTTGCCCATCGTTTCTCCATCTAGGGTTTTTGATTGTGACGCAAATTGGTGGAAAAGAATGCTTTGATTGTGACGCAAATTGGTGGAAAAGAATGCTTTGGGTTCGGAATAAATCGCATTTTTTCTAAAGCTTGAGATAACAATGAAAGAAGAGTAGCATTCCATTGTGACGTCATAAGACACTTCTGCTGACTTCCAAATCTAGCTTCTGTATTATTCTATTAAAAAGTATTCTCGAGATTTTGTTGACAAGTAAAAACCTCGCCCGTCGGACCTTCGGGCTCCGTATTTATTTGACAACAAAATCTCTCGTTTGACATGTATTTTTTTTTTTTAAATATTTTGATTATATATTGTATTATTTGAGAAAAAAGATCATTTTTTTTTAATATAGCCATTGCACGGTAGAAAGTTTTGAGGGGCGTGGCTTGCATAATTATTTCAAGAATTACATGTATTCGTGGACGGTACGGTTCTTTTTGAGAACGATACTTTTCGTTTTGCGAACGGTACGGTGCGCTTATTAAACGGAACAGTTGGTTTTGTGAACAGCACTTTTCGTTTCGTGAAAGGTACGGTTCGTTTCGTGAAAGGTACGTTCTTGCGCGGAAAGGTTCGTTTCGTTTCTGAGGTGTAGCAGGACGTTTTAAGGTCTCTCTCTTGGATTCAGGTGTTTTGGGGGGAAAAGTAGGATTTTTTCATCCCTAATTTAGCTAAAGGGAAAAACGAAAATTCCCAAACCTTATTGCACATCTACAGGATACCACTTTTATTCATAAAGATGAATTGGCTAAAAATGTAAGAGGAGTCCTAGAAAGAAAATTTGTAACAGAACGTCCTTTTCTGACCTCCACTTGGCCTCTAGGGTGAAAATGGAAAAGCTCAAGCCATATTGCACATCTACAATGCATCATCAATCATATTCCAAAATTTAATTGGCCAAGGATTTTAGGAATCAGGTTTCGTTAAGAAATGGCATTTTTTAAACCCCAATTGACACAAAGGGTGAAAATGTCAATTTTGAAACTTTATTTCACATCTAAAGGACACTGCCTATCATATTCTAAAAGTTGAGCTGGTTACTGTGTGAAATGTAAGTGGAGTCTGAGAAGGAAAATTTTGTAGAAAACGTCATTTATGACTCCATTTGGCTCCTAGGGAAAATGAAACGTCTTAAATATTATTGCATACCACTAGCCATATTCCAAAAGATGAATTGGCAACTGCATGTAATTAAAATTTGGAGGGAGTTTGAGAAAGAAAATAGTGTGACTGACGGACGGACTAGAATAATACCGGTAACATAATACCCAAACTTTCTTTAGGAATATCAGTTTTAGCAAAACATTTATTTTGCATCTAAATAGGGAATTATTTAATTGAAATCGGAACGACAAGATTAGATAAATGATTACTAATCTGACAAATCAGGAGTACTAAATCTACACAGTTACATCTGGTTGTGTCATTTCAATGTTCTTGGTCAGAGGAAAGATAAACAGAATAAATATGAGATGTTGATCATGTTTGCTAAACATGTTTTTATTTGTTTTGACCCGCAAGTATCAAGTGTAAAATCGCTTATAACGTAATTGTATATTTACTTTGATGAACAATTGTAAATGATACACAGTTTTCTTTTATCTAATCTTTTTCTCTAGATCAAATCATAAACGAAATAATTTAGAACAAGAGGCCCATGGGTCACATCGCTCACCTGAGTAACTTTGGCCATGCCGTTCTATACCAGATTTCCCCCTTGTAATACCTATTGTGGCCCCGCCCTACCCCCAGGGGTTATGATTTGAACAATTTAGAATCTACACTACCCCAGGATGCTTCCACATAAGTTTCAGCTTTTCTGGCCCAGTGGTACTTGAAAATTTTTTTAAAGATTTTTCCTATATATTTCAATGTAAAACTTGGATTCCCTATTGTGGCTCCGCCCTACCCCGGAGGTCATGATTCGAACAATTTAGAATATACACTACCCCAGAATGCTTCCACATAAGTTTCAGTTTTTCTGGCCCAGTGGTTCTTGAGAAGAACATTTTTCAAGATTTTCCTATATATTTCAA